TTCTGGTTGTATAATGTCTTACTGATTCCCCATCTGTTTCTTTACCTAGCTAAACAATACAGTACTTTGTTTTCCACCAGTCTCATTCCCTCTGAATGTCAAATAAGACCTTTCATATGGAAAGTGGATGTTTTACAAGAAGTAGCAGAGCTATATTAATTATGGCTTTCTGGTTGTATAATGTCTTACTGATTCCCCATCTGTTTCTTTACCTAGCTAAACAATACAGTACTTTGTTTTCCACCAGTCTCATTCCCTCTGAATGTCAAATAAGACCATTCATGGCTGTCATTTTCACCTTGCTAATGATATCCTGTGAGCAGAGTTGTGATGGACTTGACATACGAATTTCTCTTGTAAGTTTTCTCATTTTGGTTGAGCCTGGTATATACAACTAAGCAATGGTCTTACCATACAATTGCTTTCCTTTCTGCCATCCATCTGTGGGCCAACCATTATTAATGTTATGTACAATTGCTTGTGAGTCAAATGCAAATATTATGTTGGTTGCACTGTCTACTTGTGGTTCCTTGCTTTCAGTAATACAGAGGAGAGCTTGCTTTATGGTTTCAACCAGCCTGATGGAGAATGGTGTTGCTCCATGAGATGATGAATGACAAATCTTTTGTTACTTGTGGCATGGGCCATCTGTGGCTATCATGACAGTTGATTATCCACCATGATATATAAATAGCTGCTGACAAGCTGTTTTATTTTGCTTCACCCTCTATTAGATCTCTAGGTTTTCTGCCTAGACTTATTTTAACTCATCCCAATAGTATCAGATGTTTATTTTACATAGAAATCTATAGTGATGTAGTGATCAGTTATCTCAGTGACGATTGTATGATACCTGTTCACCCATGACTGTATCCTGAGGCTTCATTTAGGCAATTCCCTGCTTTGTTAGCTCCAATTGAAAAGTGCAGTGGCTAAATGATGGAATGCATTATATTTACACTGCAAGCCATAGTGTAGAGTTTAGTTTTGCTTTTAAGAAGTGTTGGTGCTCCCTGATGTTGGTGAGGCTTGTCATGTATAGTAGATGTATAGTGTTAAGCAGATGTTTTGTATTTTCTAGCTATGCAGCAGATAAGATGTCGGTAGAGTTTAAGTTGTTGATGTTCTTCAGCTCTATTTCCTGCTGCAACTTTCATTATATTGATGCTTTTGGTAGCTTTGGTTATTATTGTGTTAATGTTGAGTTTTTTGTCAAAGGTCACCCTCTGATACTTTAGTGTTTCTTTCAAAGGGATGGCACTTCTGCAAAGGATGGTTTATCCTCATCAGCATGTCAGTTATCGATTGATGACCATTCCTGTGACATTGCACCACTTATTCACCCTATTGACAGATGGTTGCATTTTGTTCTTATTTTCAGCTTTACTAGAGCCTCTGTTGTATACAAGCATGTTGTCAGCAAAGAGTAGTGCATACCATCTAGTTGAACTGTCAAGGTGGGTTAGATCCGTGGTGTGATGTTAAAGAAGACTGTAAAAAGTGATGACCCTCAAGGCAGACTGATATTGATGATGTTCTGGTCCGATTGCCAGTTTCCATAAGGCTCCTTCCAGTAATTAGCACAGCTATGACTACATGTTACATTAATGCCTATTCTTAGCATTGTCAGCAAGAATGGGAGGTGGACTTTACTGCTAACGTGTTCTGAAGAACTACAAAGCCTTCTCATGCATCAGCTGTTAACTTAGAAGCACTGATCCAGGCTTTTCCTCCACCTTGATAACCACCTAATGATGAAGGTAGCTGTGGTTCAATCTGATAGGTAAACTTCTACACGTTTCTCTGGGATGTTGCCGATAATATTTTACAAGACAATGATTTTATAAGCCCTAAGGGATGAACTACGTAGGTGATGCAGTTGGTATCATAAAACAAAGTAGTTGCTTAAAGTTAATCTTAAATGGATGGTATACCATAAAGACAACTCCCCCATCTACACTGATGCTCCAACAGTAACTTCAAGAGATTGGCTTCTGTGACTTTTTTAAAAGCAAAGATTCTTACCCCTTCCAGATTTGGATATCCATCTTGAGATGTATGTATGTATGACTTTGCATGTCTCATCTAAGTCAAAGATGGCTTCCATATCCGCACACAGTTATAGTTTGGATAGGAACTGTTGCAGTTTGAGTTTCTCTTACATCTAACCATGGCCACCCTGGTTAATGTACCATTCCCTTCATTATACCTGACAGATGTTGCTATGTATTTGGTTCCTGTGCTAGCCACAAGTTTACGTAAGTAGTAAAATAAAGTGTCTTTAATATTTAAAGTATGTAAAACATAGATTAAGTATTCTTGAATCAAATAATTCTCTCCAGACTGGGAAAAAGTTTAAGAACTAATATGAAATGCTAACTTGCATCAGATGATAATTCCATCCTTCAATTTAGCTGGACTGGTAAGAGCTGATGCTGCTTTCAATTTTCTGAGGTATTACCATTTTCTTTTGCTTTAAAACCAATCATATCTCAGTGCAAAGAGTGGAAATGGATGACTTTTTTTTGTATTATGAATCTTTTAACAATGCAGGCACCATTTTTACCGAGCATATTATTTACTAGAAGTGAACTAATACAAAGATTTTTACAAGTTTGCTTACTCATCATTTGACTTATTAATGTATACAAGGATTTGATAATGGTTATGTTAAAATGTGGCTAAATTATCAAACAATCTTTACCTTATCTCATATTTTTTATCTTAAGTATGATGCACTTGATTATCATAACTTACCCACAGCACTGGCCATTCTCTTTAAGGAATCAGTTTTACTTTTCTTTGATGTGCTCAGATCCATTAGACTCCCTGTAAAGGTGGTACTACGAACTACAAATGCAAACTGGATTTCAAGTTCTCCTCGATACTTCTCTTTCTTAGACTTTCCTTGAAGCTTAAACCACCTGGTAAAAAGGAGATCATTGACATTGAAACACTGATTCAAACACTAGATTCTTAAGGTATTACACCCAAAATACAAAAACAAGCATGTTTCAAACAACAACAAAAAACTAGTTACCAAAGAGATCATGATAACTGATTTTTCAATATCCTAATATACTGATATAAGCTATGTACATTAATGTTAAAATTTAGATGTTAAATAGAAAGCACATGTTGTTAAGATAAAGTAAATTTGTGAGAATAGGTCTAAAATATTCTAAATTGGTGTCATGAAAATTTAGAGACTTTGCAAAATATCTAGTACAAGGATTAGATATAAATATGAATGAGCTAATCAATAAGCTGAGTAAGTTTGCAGCAAAACAGTGAAGCATCAAGAAGGTCGAAAGTTGTTTTCTAGCTGGTAGAGTGAATCAGTCAGTGTGTTTATGTTTTTGAACCTGTGTTAGGTTTCACACATTTTGAGTGACTTTGTATAAGCATGTTTATTTTCACATTAGTGTAGTGCAGGTAGCATGGCTGTAAACATAATCCTACTACAACTGAAATAATATAAAAGCCTGCAACCAACATTAAAGGAAAAAATAAAGTAATTTGTTATTCTTACATGAACTGAACAAAGAATTTTTTTTATCAGATAATTTACAACAACCCAACAATGAAAAGATAATGCTATAACAATGCCTTAAAATCTAATTCATAATACTTATACCAAGGATTATTTGTTTGTTTTGAATTTTGTGCAAAGCTACACAAGGGCTATCTGCACTAGCCATCCCTTATTTAGCAGTGAAAGACTATAGAGAAGGCAGCTAGTCATCACCACCCACTGCCAACTCTTGGGCTACTCTTTTGCCAATGAATAGTGGAATTGACCATCACATTATAACACCCCCCATGGCTGAAAGAGTGAGCATTCTATCCACCTGGCTATGTCGGGCCTTATACCAAGGAAAGAAATGCCTTTAACAACAATTTTAAATTTTTATGAAAACATGAAAGCAATTGTAGTAAGTAATTTTTAGAGAATTATCTGTCATCATGGGATCATATTCTCCAATACTTCAATAATCATATATTCTTTTTCATATTTTTAATGTTAAGGTAGAAAAGAAAGCATTAAAGATATTCTTTCAACTGTTATTGTTTCTTACCTGTTTTGGGGAACTTCGTGAATATCATGGTTAGCTAAAGGTATAAACACTTGTCCCAAGAATTCATCCAACCCAAGAAAATTACGGTGAAAAACAGTAAGCTGGACACTGTTATCTTTTTCTGTTATTGTTCTGTTTCGAACAAAGAAGATTCACATGCTACTGTTAAACTTACCATAATTTTAATTTCATTAACATTTTAATTCCTACAAGTTAGGATAATGATTGCTAGCGATATAAATATATTCCAATTAAAAATGCAGAAAACATATTTACTGAAAACAAACTTTTAAAGATTTGATAGATACTCATTAAATGTTCAGATAGTAACTTTTCTTTCATTATTTGTTTACACAAAATACAATCACAGGAAACTTAAGTTTTCTCACATTCTATTCAACATATTTACTGAAAACAAACTTTTAAAGATTTGATAGATACTCATTAAATGTTCAGATGCTAACTTTTCTTTCATTATTTGTTTACACAAAATACAACCACAGGAAACTTAAGTTTTCTCACATTCTATTCAACCAAGGTTATCTATCAAAAACAAATAGAACCTTTCGAAATGGTGTATTTAAGTGTTTTACACTCACAGACAAGAAACCTATCATTTCAAATACCTATAGAATGATAGGTTTCTTTTTTTGTGAGTGTAAAACATTTAAATACACCATTTCGAAAGGTTCTATTTGTTTTTGATAGATAACCTTGGTTGAATAGAATGTGAGAAACCTTAAGTTTCCTGTGGTTGTATTTTGTGT